GCGCATGTTAGAAGGCCCCCACCAAGTCCAATGTACCCATTTCACAAGTGAACAGAGGCCCAGAAAGGGGAAGCCAGGTGCCAAGGCCACACAGCAGAACAGGCCTAAGACCTGAGCCTCTCATGCGTCGAGTGGGAGTTGGAGTCCTGGCCTTGTGAGCCCTCCTGGGCCAAGAGGGGTGAGACTCAGCACGAGGAGTTCACCCCAGGTGGGCCCTATGGGTGACTGGGTGGCCTGAGTAGACACTTCCCTGTTCTGGGCAACAGCTTTTCTGTTCTTTGCTCCCTCAGCCCTAAAGGCTGGCACGGAGCCAGTCCCCTAATGACCGTCTTGGGTCCTCTCCCTACCCTGGGGCCCTCTTCATCCTGACCCCAATCTGGGCTCCAGCTGTGGGGGCTGGAGGTCCTCATTGCCATGGCAACTTCATGAGCCTCTACAGAGATTAAGAGGGGGGCTTGTACCGAGGGGTTGAGAGAGGAAAATGGTTGCCAAGGAAACAGGCCTCCGTGGGCCAAGGACTTCCTACAAAATCAGATTTTAGGAGATTTTAGAGACCAAGGGGGAAAGCCCCCTCCTGATAGGAATGGAGTAATATTCTGCTTTCTCGGCCACCCAGACTCTTGATTCTTCACTGCTTCCCCCCTTTCTTTGCAGGAGGGCTTGGTGGTCCAAGTGGATGGGGCTGTGGAGGTCACTCATCCAGCCCAGAGGTCCCTCAGGTCACCTAGACCAGCAGCTCCATTTTACAGGTCAAAAGACTGAGGTTCAGAATGGGTCAGGGCATGCCCAGGTGACACGAATGAGCCACAGCAGAGCTGGGATCAGATCTGGGAGACAAGCGCTCAGCAGCCCAGCCCCCTCCTATGCTTGCTGCCCTGGTTTGCCTAAGAAATGCCTGTAAACAGGACAAGTTTCCTGGAGGCCATAAGCCAGATTAGGGGCCCCTGGGGGCCTGTTGGCCACAGGTCTTTGTCCTGGGACTCCCTGCTGCCTTGTGACAATCAGTGGTTCTGTTCACCAAGCCTGGCCCGAAGTCAGTGAGTTACTTAAGACGCTGCTCTCTGTGGCCCTGGCGGGGGCAGGGCATGGGGGAGGGAGCTGAAGGGACCCCAGAGGGACTGTCCTCTCTGAGCCTCAGTTACCCCATCCTTACAGTGGGGAGAGTCATGGACTGTGCACTTCCCCACCGCAGATCTTTGCGTGCCCTCCTTCCCGCCTCATCCCTCTCTTCATCTGACCGACTCTGGCTCATTTTGAACGTCCAAGCCTTCATGTCATCTCCTCAGGAAAATGCTTCCTGAGTCCCTCCGCCACCATCCAGGGTAGGGGTCTGCTTGGGGCGCAGCTGGCCCAGCCCCAGGGAGGATCGAAGGTCCCAAGTGCACGTTCCTTCGAGCTTCTCACCCTCAGAGAACCAACACTTCTGTCTGCTCAGGCTGCTAGGCCACCGATTCACTGTCAACAAACAAGTTCTGCACTCCTCATGTGTGCCGGGAGCTGGGACACAGAAAGGAGGAAAGCAGGGGCCCTCCCGGACCGTGAAACCCTGGAGGGAGGCAACAAACAGGCCAACCCACACATACAGAGGCAACCATAAAGTTCTGTGAGGACACTGCCTCTCACTGGACGAGAGGAGGGCCCCGCATGAGCTTCCTCGGGGAAGACCTCCCAGAGGGAAAGATCTCTTGGCCTCTAAGAGTGGGAAAGAGGTGAACAGGAGCAACAGGCCAGGGGAAGGCCAGGCGCAAAGGCCCTGAGGTGGGGAGCAATGAAAGAAGGTTCAAGAGGCTGGAGCAAGGCCAGCTAGAATGAGAGGGAGGGAAGGGGCTGGAAGGGCCAGGCCTGGCATGTGCCCTTGCCCATCCTGGCTCCCACATCCCTCCTGGCGCCGCCGGGCCCTCCAGCCTGGCCAAGCCCGAGCCTCTCCAGAGCTGCCCTGTGACATTTCCAAGGAGGCTTTTGAGTGAGAAAACGTCTCATTCAGCCAGAGTTCTTTCAAAGCTGGCTGGTGTCCTAGCAACGGGCTCTTGCTGGGCCTGGCCGCACCAGCCTGCCCTGCCCCCAGTGGCATCACTGTCTGCCCAGAGGCCCAGCTTTGGTTCTGCAGGATCCTGCCCCCTGCACCCCCACACCGAACGGTGGCCAGGAAGCCACAGAGCCGCTCCCTAAAATCCTAGGTGAAGATGGTCCTCCCTAGAGAGTGTGGGAGGGCAGTGCTCACTGGAAGCAGCGTGGGTCACAGCAGGGCAACAAGAGGGGGCACTAGCTGAGACGCACGTGCAGGTTAGGAGCCCTCTGTGCCCGCAACAGCCCCAGGCTTCTCACTTATGGAGAGGCAGCAGATCCTGAGAACAAATGGAAGCCTCCATTTGCCCAGCTGGAATCCAGGCTCCCTGTTGGGAACATGGCCTTGGGCAAATCACCTGAGCCTCTGTTCTTTCACCTGGAGAATGGACAGCACTCCTTCTCTTCATCCCTCCATCTGGCCCACTCTCACCCTAGCCAGTCCCCACTCAGCAGCCAGAGCGGGCCTTCAAAATGCCAACTGCTCTCTCTCTCTCTCTCTCTCTCTCAAAATAAATAAAAAACGTTAAAAAAAAAATCTTTAAAAAGGGGTACCTGGGTGTCTAACTCTTGATTCTGGCTCAGGTCGTGATCTCACCGTTCGTGGGATGGAGCCCCACACTGGGTGCTGTGCTGACAGCACACGGCCTGTTTGGGATTCTCTCTCTCTCTCTCTCTCTGCCCCTCCCCCACTCGCTCGAGCCTGCATGCACGCTTTCTCTCTCTCAAAATAAATAAAAGACATTTTAAAAAGTCTTCAAAATGCCAACTGGATTGTAACGTTCTACATGGACCCTCCAGTGGCTGCCCATTGCTGTTTAATTAGCATTTGAGGCCCTGAGTGGCCGGCCCCCCACCCTGCTAGCCATGTCTCTCTCCACCCTCCACAGAGAGGCCATCATGGCCACCTTCTTTCAGTTCCTCCAACTCGCCCTGTCCCCCCTGCCTCCCAGACTTTGCAAAGCTGGTTCTCTCTGCTCTGAACACTCTCTCTGCCCCATCACCAACCCCAATCACTCTGCAAACTCCTTCTTGACTTAGACCATGCCTCTCCAGGAAGCCTTCCCTGCTACCCCCAGGCCAGGCTGGGGCCCTCCTCTAGGCTCCTCCCGGGCCCATGCTGCCCCATCTCAGCACTGAGAGACCTTCCAGTCCTGGGGGCTTCCAGAAGTATATAGGATGCCCCGTTCAATTTGAATTCCAGATAAACAATGGATAACGTTTCAGGATAAGTATGGCTCAGGCAATATTTAGGACATACCTATACTTTAAAAATGTGTTTATCGAAAATTCAAACTTACTGGGTATCCTGGATTTTTGTTTGCCAGATCTGGCCTCCTACTTGTCTTCCTAACCTGACCTGAATACCAGGGGTCAGAGACCATAACTGTCCTGCTCATTATAGCCTCCAGCGCCTACGTGAGGTTCAGGCTGAGGAAAGAGTGTGAGTTTGGGGTAAATGCAGAGAACACAGGGCAGCTGGGCGGGCCTCCAGCAACTTCCAGATTCCAGAAAGGCCAGACACACAAACCCCATCTCGACCAAAAGGAAACAGTCCAGCTCCACTCACCTTCCAGTCTGGGGGTAACTGGGCCCCGAAGCCCAGAGCCGGAAACATCTTATCACTAATCAGAGACAGGAGAAGAAAACTACTGTAAGACATCAGGTCAGAGGCCTCACTGCCCCCACCCACCCCTCCCAGCCCTCGCCCAGGGCTGGGCCCACTCTGCCTTGCACACCTCCAAGGACAGAAGGAAAAAGCTCACCACCTCTAGAACGGGCTCTGTGTGAATGATCTACTGAGCTCACACCCACCTCTAAGTACCTGGGGAATGTGAGGCTTGACCCTATCCACACCTGTGGCAGACATGGCTAATCAATCACAGCACTTCTAACCGGTGGGCCTGGATGCAGCTTTTAGGTCCTTCTCAAACTGGGACCTCAGGCATCCGCTAAACCACAGTCGTTACAGAAATATACTGCCTGTCTCTCAACCTCCCATTTCTGTCTGGGAAAAATTCTCCTAAATGAGAACCCTGGCTTAGTGTCAAGGCCCTTCATCATCCAGCCCTAGGACCTACTCTCATCTCCTTCCAGCTGCCCTCCCTCATACCCCACTGGCCCAGCCTTGGCCACTGGCCACTAGCTGTGTCCCAAACACACAGGGCAACCTCACGCTCCAATTTCAATCATGTTATACCTCCTTTTTCCCCCAGCCTGTTCCCTGTGGCAAACTCCTACTCATCCACTAAGGCCCAATTCAAATGGCCCCTTCTCTCTGTGGGTTTCCCTGAGGCCTGAGAATGCCTCTCTTTGGTGCTCTCTCGGAACTCCAGTGATTCGTTCCCTGTCTTCCTCCCTGCGTGGGAACTCCCTGAGGGCAGGGATCATGTCTCACCTGTTCATTCACTCAACTTACATATTGAGGAATCCCCTGGCTGTTGTGTGAAGGACAAACCGCCAGGTACTAGGACAGAAGCAGGGAGACCAGTGAGGAGCCTACTGAAGTGGTCTGAACGGGAAGGGATGCTGGCTTGAACAGGCTGGTAGCAGTAGGGGTGGGAGAAGGGGCCAGATTCAACTAGGTTTGGAAAGGATTTGCTGAAAGAACACTGGAGGAGGTAAGGGAAGGAAAAAGTGAAGGGTTTTGGGTGAGTGGTAGTGCCTCTCACGGAGATGGGGAAGAGGGTGAGGGGGTAGGGGCTGGGGCAGGTGCCCAGAGCTTACTGGGTCCTTCTTTGCTAAGTCCGAATGCCCATGAGGAGCCTCAGTGAAGGGACTGAGTGGGCAGCTGGATACAAGGGACTCCAGAGCAGCAACAGCAGGCTCCTCTGCCCAACCATGCAGATGGGGACTTTCACCTCCCTTGCCCTGTGGGCTATACCTCTCTTAATGTGGCCAGGGTGGGTGGCCCCCCACCCCCCACCCCGGACCTGGGAATCAGACACTGGTAGTAAGGCTGTCTCTCTCAAGGAGGCCAAGTGCACACAGGATTCCTGAGCCTGCTGTTGTTCCTGCCAAATCTCCGGCACCTGCACCTTCCTTCCCTGTTCCCCATGTTTTGGCTTCCTAGTCATTCTGCCCTCTGGCCTGGAGGACCTAACAAGCACCACCTGTGGCAATGATGCCATAACCTTCAAGTGGCTTCTGATCCTCCAAGGCCACACCCCCTACACAGCTTTCCTTCACTGACTTTCCACTGCCCCCCCTCCTTAACCAAAGATCTCCAGGAAGCATGGCCACGGGAAGAGGGCCCACACGTGCTGGCTGCTCCTTCCAAGTTCCCAGCAGGAGTGAGACTATTAGGCCATTAGGTGCCAGTCCCCCTGCTCTGTGTGACTTCGGATACATTCTCTACCCCCCTTCTCAAGCCTACATTTCTCCAGCTCTAAAAGGGAAAGTTGCAACAATAGCAAACACGTTTCATTTTCCATCTTGATTCCTTTTCTTACTGGCTACTTGCGGTACCATATGGAGAAGGATTCCAGCGTGGATCTGGGCTCCGTAGGTAAGAGGTCAGCAATTGACTAGCGAAGTCTGCCGCAGGTGTGGGAAGGGGCAATAAGGCACGTCATGTGTTGGCCATTCCTAGGTTTGATGATCTTTGGGTCCCTTCCAGTTTGATAAGCTGAGCTTCCTGGTTGGATGAAGCTGGAGCTGACCTTCATGGTCCCTCCCCAAGTTTACCTGTCATAGTCCTGAATGATCTGCCCAACAGCCCAGATGGCTGACAGATATTCGTTGGTGCCCATGGGGTTGATATAGTGCAAAGAGGAAGGGTCCAGGGGATTCCCATTGGAGGCTGTGAAGTCTATCCCAACCTGTAGCGTGGGGGTAAAAAAAAAAAAAAAAAAAAAAAAAAAAGGCCACTCAGGGTGGTCACAGACCCTAGCTCCCTATCCCATCCCCAGGGAACAATGAGCCTGATGGGACATGGGAAGCCCACTCATCTCCCTGTGCCAACCCACCCTTCCGTAAGATGGTCTGACACCTGGAAACTGACTGTCACTCCTTTGGTTCCAGTGCCATTTGGTTCTAGTGCCATTTGGCTCCCTATTGCTCAAGCATAAAGTCTATTGCCCAGATGTGACACAAAGCCAACTCATAGTCCCAAATTCCTTTCTCCCCCTCACTGTCACTACCCACACACTCATCTGTTTCCATTTCCAGGCCTTTATTCATGAGGTTCCCTCTACCTAAAGAGCCAGGCCATCTTTTCTCCCTAATTCTCCTCCATCATTCAGGCCCAGTTTGGATCTGCTGCCCCGTGGAAGCCTTCCCAGACACCCTCTCCCCTCCCCAAGCCACCTCCACCAAGAGGCCCCGGGACCTAGGGCTGCCCGGTACGGCACTGCCCATCTGCCCAGAGTCAGTGCTCACTGTAGGCAAGATACGTGCCCCTGAAGCCAGGTCCGGGACTAGGCACAGAGCACCAGGGAAGATGCTCCACAGGAGCTGGGGCTGATATCTGCTCTCTCAGCCTGCAGGGAACTGCAGCCCAGCCCCCGGAGGGCTAGCAGATGAGTGGGCAAGCCTGCCTGGCAAGGGGGGATTAGGAGAGGGATCCAGGGAGAAAGATGGCCACCTTAGAACTTGGTCATCGTGGGATGGGTTTGGCATAGAGGAGGTGCTCAGTATCCATTTGTTGAATGAACACACACACACATACACACACGCACAGGAGGAACAGGAGAGCCCAGCCTATTGGAATGAGAGGGTAGTGGTGACCAGTGGGGTCAGAGATCAACAAGGCCAATCCCATGACCCCATATACTCATGCAGATGACCTCCTGCCCCATGGAATCTAGAGGTGGTGGTGGAGAACAGTGAGGCAAGGCAGGGAGGTGGGCAAGAGCATGGGACCCCAGCAGGACCCCTGGGCCCCAAGGTCCCCTTTGGGTGAGGAGCATAAGACCAGATGGACAGGACAAGTCTGTGGGGCCTACACTCCAGGCCACAGGCAGAGGCACAGTTCATTTACTAAATACCTACTGTGTGCCAGGCACTGAGTGATTTGCTGAGGTTCGTACAGAAACAAAACAAAGTCCCTGCACTAAAGGTACTCACAGTCTGCAGAGTGGGACAAACAGGGACAAGAGAAAAAATACTTATATAATTTCAGAGTGGCAAGTGTCCTGAAAATCAAAATAGGAGAAGAGACAAGAAGGAAGCAGGAAGCATCAGGGGAGGCTTCCCTGAGGAGGTGACCTCTATGCCATGGCCTGAAGGGTGGTAGGGCAGCAGCCATGAGAAGGTTCCAGAGGAGCGTTTCAGAAAAAGGAAACAGCATATGCAAAGCCCTAGAACAGAAAGGAGCGTGGCATCTTGGAGGAACAGTGGGGTCCTGTGTGCATGGAACCGAATGAGCAAACAGGAGGGGCAGCAGAGGAGACAGGAAGGCCTTCTGACCATTGAAGAGCTTCTTTTCCTGCTGAAGAGGTGTAACCAGCAATCCTCGGAGGGCTGGGCAACCATGCCCTGATCTCTAGCTACACCCTGACTCAGGCCCAATCACCTATGCCCTCTCCTCTGGGCCAGACCCACCCTTTGCCCTGGAGAAGTCATTCCCGAAGTTTACCCCACGTCCCTCCTGCTACAGTGGTGACCCAAGCCCTTAGGGAGGATCCTCACTGGGGTTGGGTGGGGTGGGGTTGGGGGGGAGAGACTTACCGTGAACATGAGCTGGCAGCCTCCCAGGATGTAGTCCAGGAAGGAGTAGTCCCGGTTTATCTGGAAGGGACCAGGGGAGTCACTGGGCCCCTGCTCTGCACCTGAGGCCTGGCCCTCTACCTAGTCACAATACCCAAGAATGACCTTTGGAGAGCTGATTGCTCTGTGCCCTGAAACCTTAGTAGAGTCAAGGAGGCCAAGAGAAGACCCGGTCTCATTATAACCAAACTCCAGTCTCTATAACAACACTCAGAGCAACAGTTCCAGTGGGTGAGACTGAGACACGCACACACACACACACACACACACA